GGGGGGGGGGACCCAAGGGAGGGTCCCCCCCCGCCCCTCCTCTCCTGTAACCTTTACACAGTTCTGAGTTCCAGTGCTTTTTAGAGTTGACAGCTGGTACACGGGGGAAAGACGGGTGCTTTCTGGTCTGGGTAGTAGGATGGAAATCTTAGTGCTTTCTGGATTTCTCACATCTATTATTTTCTTTTTCCCCTCCTACATAGTTGTATGTGGGGCATCATACATAGGGTATCACACACAGGGTGTCACACATAGGGCACACACATACATATGGTGTCACACATAGGGTGTCATACATAGGGCACACACATACATATGGTGTCACACATAGGGCACATATATACATAGGGTATCACACATAGGGCACACATATACACAGGGTGTCACACATAGGGTATCACACATAGGGCACACACATACATAGGGTGTCACACATAGGGTGTCACACATAATAGGGTGTCACACATAGGGTATCACACATAGGGCACACACATAGATAGGGTGTCACACATAGGGTGTCATTCATAGGGCACACACATACATAGGGTGTCACACATAGGGTGTCACACATAATAGGGTGTCACACATAGGGCACACACATACATAGGGTGTCACACATAGGGTATCACATATAGTCTTCAAGATACGACTTACTGGTCACCCAGGAGCATTTCCTGTCTCTGGACACCCTAGCACTTAGGTTCCCAGCATTCAGGCTTCCTAAGATGGTGTGTTGGCTCATGTTTCGGCTCTTTTTCCTTTTCCATACTTCATGGGCCTTCGTTGTAGCGTGCGTGCAGAACACACCGAGTAATAGAGAAATAAACCCTGCAGTAGAGCCTCTGGCTGTCACAGGCAGCTCAGCAGAGGCGTAACTGGGTCGTAGGGAACCCCGAAAGCACACTTAACCCAGAAACAAACTAAACCACAACAGGAAAACAACTGTCTGAAACAATGGCAACACATGGCCAAAAACCCTTTAAGATTGTTTATCGAGTTCTGGCAACAAAACGGTCTGTATAAAATGACATTTAAGAACATTATAAAGAAATATGCCTGGTGTTCTGAAATAGTGAGGAGGCATTTTATTGCTCTTTATGTGTAATTGTCATTTCAGGTTCTAGCTCATTTGAATCTCAAAAAATGGATCGTCCTTCTATATCCGTTACCTCTCCCATGAGTCCTGGCATGCTGAGGGATGCCCCGCAGTTCTTATCCGGACAGCTTTCAGTATGTAATCTCTAGATTCATCTCCTTGGGAATATTAAATGATGTTTTAAAAATGTGATGTTAGAGGTTCTGGTTTCTCTTTCTTTCCTTTCTTTTTGTTTCTGTTTTTTTGTTTTGTTCTCATCAACGTTCTTCCTAGAACATAATTGTGTCTTTACCTCTCTGTCAGCTTTTTTATTTTTGATAATTTGTAGTTACTTAAAATTTAATTTGGGCTATTTATTGTAATGCTTTAATTTAATGTTAGGTTTATAGGGTTTAATGATTTTTTTAAAATGAAGATATGTAACCCCTTTTTTAACCTTAATTATTATTCCAGAAGTTGAGGTGATGGTTTTTACTCTTCATTTAAAAATGACTGGGAATTGCAATAGTTTTTTGTTTTTTTTTGTTTTTTTTTTTTTCAGAGAGAGGAAAATGGCGTATCATACAAAGTCTATATTAAAGCAGAAACAATTGTTCATGTATTCTTTGCTTTTCAATCTTATGGGAACTTGGGGTAACTTTGATAATAAATTTATGGGCTTTTAGTATTGTTCACATATATAAGGATTCTAGAGGTGTTTTTTTTTTTTTTATCAACAGACAGGACTAAATAATATGAGGGACAAAACTGCTAAGGCTGTGACAGTAATGTAAAGTCGGTGTAATTGTAGCTTAATATGAAAAGTGTATTGTTTTATAGCTTGGAAGGAAAGTAGTCTATGAGTTTAGTTAAAATGTTAATTACGGGGCTGGAGAGATGGCTCAGAGGTTAAGAGCACTGGCTGCTCTTTCAGAGGTCCTGAGTTCAATTCCCAGCAACCACATGGTGGCTCACAACCATCCGTTATGAGATCTGGTGCCCTCTTCTGGTGTGCAGATACACATGGAAGCAGAATGTTGTAAACATAATAAATAAATAAAATCTTTAAAAAAATGTTAATTACATAGCACTATGAAATAATGCACAGATGCACAATTAATTTACATACAAATAGGAGAGGGATTATGAACATAATTCATATTACTATCAGGAAAGTAGTATAGAAAACTCCAAAGTAAAATCACTAATAATCCCCACAGTGCATATGACTTTTGGTAATGCATGCATATATTTTTAAAATGAAATTTCACATACTTTTGCATTTTCTTTTTCCTTTCTCTTATTTTTTTTTGGGGGGGGTTTAGAATTTTATTTTGTAGTCTTGACTGGACAGAAAACTAGTATGTAGACCAGGCTGGCATTGAACTGGATGGTCCTCCAGCTGCTGCCACACATGGCCTGAGCTCTCTTTATTCTCTATTATTGTACAGACTTTGTCTTATCTTTAAAATTCCTCTTTACTTTATTTCATAACTATAATACTGCATTTTAACTTCTAATTTATATAATTATTGTAAGGATGCCACTGAAGTACTGAGGTACATATAAATGTTGCTTATTTTTACTATAGCGAATTAGTGTCGAGAGAACTTTTTAGAAGTCAAATTATAATCCACATGCTAAAGTATAAACTTGAGAATGTTAAAAAGCTATTGTAATTACATCTAATCTATCAAACACCTATTTTATATGTACATATTATGTGTATATGCATACATACATACATATGTGTACATACACACATAAATTTTAAGTTCTGACAGAAATCGTAGTCCCAGTCACCAGGAATATAAATGAACAAGAAAGAATGCCTTTTATTATTATACAGCTTTGAATTCCATTCTTATTCTTTGTATGAGATGCTCTCCTGGGTTCTGTGCACATCTGTCTTCCTATCTCTGTTAGCCTACAGGCAAGTTTGGTTTGCTGTGAAGATGTGGTTTTAAAACATGCCTACCTGTATCACGTCTTGGGAAAACTCTCAGGACGTCCAGCTCTACCCTTTTCTGTTAGCTTCCTTTCTGTTGGCGTGGCTAGCATGAAAGAGCTGCCCAAGGAGAAGGTGTGCTCCGTCTCACGGTTCGGGGCACCGTGGGTCATGGCAGGGAAGCCGAGGCCTCAGGAACTGAAGCAGCTGCTCTTATACGGCCATCAGACAGCGTGGGTGGCTCTTGTACAGCCATCAGAGAGCGTGGGTGGCTCTTGTACGGCCATCAGAGAGCGTGGGTGGCTCTTGTACGGCCATCAGAGAGCGTGGGTGGCTCTTGTACGGCCATCAGAGAGCGTGGGTGGCTCTTGTACGGCCATCAGAGAGCGTGGGTGGCTCTTGTACGGCCATCAGAGAGCGTGGGTGGCTCTTGTACGGCCATCAGAGAGCGTGGGTGGCTCTTGTACGGCCATCAGAGAGCGTGGGTGGCTCTTGTACGGCCATCAGAGAGCGTGGGTGGCTCTTGTACGGCCATCAGAGAGCGTGGGTGGCTCTTGTACGGCCATCAGAGAGCGTGGGTGGCTCTTGTACGGCCATCAGAGAGCGTGGGTGGCTCTTGTACGGCCATCAGAGAGCGTGGGTGGCTCTTGTACGGCCATCAGAGAGCGTGGGTGGCTCTTGTACGGCCATCAGAGAGCGTGGGTGGCTCTTGTACGGCCATCAGAGAGCGTGGGTGGCTCTTGTACGGCCATCAGA